GTATGAGGGTCATCTAGGAGAAATAAATAGATCGTTGTGTCTGCAGATATGTATGCATGTGCCTGTGTGTATGTTCATTCCAGATTATCTCACAGCATGTCGTGCAGTGCCATGCGGCCCACGCAAGAGTGTGTGGTTTACCAGATGCGGCCATAACCAATCCAACCTTACATCCCCTATGAGCTGACTATTGAAAACAGACAAAAATGCACAGAAAAATAGCAATAGACTGTTTCGCCAGACTTGCACCGGCTCATCAGGAAGCTGAACCCTCGACAGTCTGCAGGTCCCCTCACAACGCTTTGAGTCATCACCACGCTTCAAACCCTGATGCGGATTGGCAAACACAAGCATGCAGCGCAACATGGACAAGGCAACATATATGCAAAGTAAAGCAGGAACACCACGAGGCAAGTGGGCAGGCAGGAAGGTGGGAGGGCAGGCACACAAAGAGGAAGCATTGGCAAACACAAGCATGCGGTGCAACATGGACAAGGCAACATATAGCAAAGTAAAGCAGGCACACCGTGAGGCAAGTGGGCAGGCAGGAAGGTGGGAGGGCAGGCACACAAAGAGGAAGCAAGGGCAAACACAAGCATGCGGTGCAACATGGACAAGGCAACATATAGCAAAGTAAAGCAGGCACACCGTGAGGCAAGTGGGCAGGCAGGAAGGTGGGAGGGCAGGTACACAAAGAGGAAGCAAGGCAAGCCAACTCAAGCATCAGGGCAGCAAGGCAAGGCAAGCATCAGGGCAGCAAGGCAAGGCAAGCATCAGGGCAGCAAAGGCAAGCCAAGGCAGGCGGCAGGGCAGCGAAGCACCAAGGCAATCTAAGGCAAGCAGCAGGGTAGCGGGGAAACAAGGAAGCGAAGGAGGACAAGCCGGTGAGGACAAGGCAAGGCAAGGGAACACGGCAGTAGAAGGGAACAAGGCAAGGCAGGGCAAGTGGGAAGCTAGACGAGGGCAGAAGGGGAGGTGGGCAAGGGCAAGGCAAGGCAGCTAAGGAGCACAGTGAGCAGCAAGGGCGCGAGGCACGGTGTGAGGAAACCCGGGGAGGGGCCCTGTTCGTCGCTGAAGCCAAGGACAGCGGCGTCTGTCACCCGCCGTGTCCGCATCAGAGGTCCTCAGTGACGCAGCAGGGGAGTGGGGTTTGTTCTGCCTGTCACGGTCCCCCTCGAAGAGTGAATTTGAAAACTCTTATTACATGCGGAGATGAGAGAGTAATTGGACGGAAGGCATTTAGTAATGGAAAAATTTCTTCAGGTCTGCAGTCCGGAGGTCGGGACCAAGCCCTTGCCCAATGCTGCCCCAGGAAGAGCTCAGATTTTCAGGAAAAACTGATTGTATTTTGGGATTAACTGCAATGAGCTAGAGTAGCCCTTGAAATCAGGGGTATATTCTGCCCCTTGTACTCCATCGGTATATGGGGGCTTTCCTGAAATATTCTCAGACAAGTACCGTCCTAAAATTTTATGAAGCCGAGAGGCACTTCAGTCATTGGCCTGGGATAGCAGGGCACTTCAGTCATTGGCCTGGGATAGCAGGGCTGACCCGTTCTTTTTGCCGCATAGGGGAGGGACACGAATCTTCCCACGTACAAGTCAATTAACTATTCATTCCCGTAGATTGCCACGAATAAAAGGAAATAAATAAATAAATATGTAACTGCATGGTTCTTTCGGCCGTGCAGTCCCACACTTCAATATGGTTTTCCACAGTTCCGCTTATATGAGACCCGACTTCATTTATTTATTGTAAGAAATCGCAAATGCTGATTGGACAGCAGCTTCTGATGCTTGAAGATCATTCAGTACCCTTACTCGGCCATGACGGCATTCGGGCTGAAGACTGAGGCTGAAGACTGATTAATACGAAGTTTCTCCTTTGTCAATTTTCGTGCTTGATTTGATCCGGGATACAAGCACCGTCACCAAGCAGAAATCACGATCGCGCCTCGTGCCCGGATGATGCCTGAACTTTGTTGAGAAGGAAATCCCAACGGTCAAAACATCAGTTTTGAAGTCCCCTTGAGGCGGGTCGAAACTGATCTTGAATTCGTGTTGTGTGGGAAAAATGACAGACGTTCTACCAAGACCATGTCAAAAAGTTAGCGCAAATATCCCGACACCTCCCGCTGAGTTTTGTTCTCCTGCAGTAAGCCATCAGTTAGCTCGGATTGCTGCTGTTCTTCTCCTCAGTTTCGTCTCTCTCCCTTTCACTCTCCCTCTCTCACACACACACTCGCGCACGCACCATCTCACTCTCATACCCGCTTGATCACACACGCTGCCCTGAGTCCTCTCTCTCTCCTTCTCTCATGCAACCTCTTTCTCACTCCTCCAGTCATATTTGAATGCGCCTGGACGTAGTCATGGCCAGATACGTGCAGTTTGAAAATCACCTCGCCTACCTCACCCGATCACTCTCTCCAGCCAGTATCCGGTCATACACTTTCTCTCTCCCACTATCTCTTCGGTCTCTTTTCTCCTTCGTGACTCGTCTTCCATTTTTCATATCCCGTTGTCCATAGCCTGTCCCCGTGAGCTTGCATTGACAGCAGCTCGCGACATGAAGAGGCATGAACAGTAACTCCGAGACGGGCAGACTTCTGGTCCGCTGTCCAGTAAGGTCAGGTGTGGGTGAACTTAGTCGCGCAGAGGTCCAGATTCAGAGAGTCTGCCAAGCGGTCATCAGTCTCCCATCCGCCGCTCTCACCAAGCTAGCCTGTTCGTTGGTAGAGTTCAAATGCATCTGGGCGTGGCCAGGGTCAAGAACGAGTATTAGGGGAATTGAAAGTGGCCTCTCTCTCTCTCTCTCTCTCTCTCTCTCTCTCTCTCTCTCTCTCTCTCTCTCTCTCTCTCTCTCTCTCTCGTCCACCTTCCCTCATGCACTCGCGCTTCCTTATACCCTCACTCACCAGCGAGCTGAATCAGCCCATGAGAAATGGCAGTCTCCCTCAACAGTGGGATGGCTCGAATGGCTGTTCTCCTCCACAGTGGAATGGATGATTTCATCATCAGTAGAAATTGCAGTTCCCCTTAACAGCAGGATGGATGATCTCATCATCAGTGGAAATAGCAGTTCCCCTTAACAGCAGGATGGATGATCTCATCATCAGTGGAAATAGAAGTTCCCCTTAACAGCGGGATGGATGATCTCTTCATCAGCGAAACGGGCTGTTCTCATCAGCAGTGGAATGGTTGTCCTGGCTGGGGGTCTCCTCCACAGTGGAATGGATGATCTCATCATCAGTAGAAATAGCAGTTCCCCTTAACAGCAGGATGTATGATCTCATCATCAGGGGAAAAGGCTGACAGTCTTCATCATCATCGGAAAAGTTGAGCCTATTCCCAGCGGAAGTCGCTGATTGCGCCACCAGCAGCAACCATTTTTCTTCCACCAACAGTAATGTTGTTCTCCCCTCCAGCGGTAATGGCCGATTACGCCGCCAGCGTAGCGGATTTTTTTGCACCCTACTGTGTACACCAGGCATACAGTTCCTCCAGTTTGCCTCGTTGCTCCTCTCTTGTTTTCCCTCACACACAAGCGCACTTCCTCTGTCTCAACGCACTCTCTCTCTCAACCAGTGCACTCTCTCTTTCACACTCTGTGCACTCTCTCTCTCCCACAGTGCACAGTCCCTCTCTCT